TTAGTTTACCGATGTCGACCTTCTCCCCGCGCGGTGTATTGAATTAAGTCCATCGCGGCGGCGCGGCGGTGGTAGGTGTATTTTCACGAAGAAAATTAATTTTCCGTCGGAAATAAAACTATATTATTATTATAATTATTATTATACGACGACACACACTGCTCGCTGGCTGTCTATTATGTTGCAGTGTCTAATAGGTATAAATATTATTATTAAGCTGCAGTTGCATTATATAATATAATATACATCTCCTCCTCTCGAGTAAATAACTAGTTTAAAAATAAATTACAGTTGAGGGTAACTTTTTTTTTAATATCAACCTGAAAATGTACCGACGAAATAAATGATAAAATAATCATCATAGCATAATTTTAAAATTGTTATTATTCCCGGGGAGATTCCGTTAAAAAAAACCACTATCGTGAGCGCATAAAAGTTAATTTTTAAGGATTTACGAGGGGGTAAAAATAAGTATTTTTAAGCCATAATACCTGCTCGTATATAATTTATTTAAATTATATCAAATAGTACAACGACGAAAAAAACTCTTTTTTAAATAAACGCTCTTAGAGAAGTGATAAATCGTTTTATATACATGAAGAGGTTTCGTAGGTACATATTACATTATATTAAGCATACTATTAGACTTTCTATTGGATTTATCAATTGAATTTTCTGTTGGGTGTTTGTTCAAATGTTCAAGTACGAATAAGAGCCGTCGTCATAAAATGTTTATGCGCAATTATATTTTTATTATGTGTAGGTATTGAATTAAAGATAATTTTGGAGACTTCCTCGAAACTAAAACTGAAATTATTATGTGTATTATTATTTATAATTTTATAAACACAAAGAAAAAAAAGAGAGATAAAGAAAACGACCGTAATTATTACTGAGTGAAAAATTTTCAGAAGCTATTCGTTTTTAAGCACGTCATCTGTCAAGGTTGAACACGAAGAGCTCTGAATGTTCAAAATCAATACGTTCCATTAAGGGTGTATTATAATTTGTCTAAATAACAAATAAAAAGTTTTCTAAACAAGCCGAGAATATTAAATTTGCGTAGGTAGATGCATTGCAATGGAATGAACAAATAAGACAATAATAATATTATATATTTTCAACGAAACGTAATTTCGTGAGCACTATTATTGATCATGGTTGTTTTGTTGACGTGAGTCAGTGATGTTACCAGGTATCGTTTTAAGGGATGAGTCATGTGTATGATATTATCATTGTGTATACAGGGTGATCACCAAGCAAGTTCCCCTCTCATTTTGTACTAGTACCACGATGAAGAATTTATTTAAATTTCGATTTTCGGAAATATTAAGTTCCTTAACGAATATATTAAACACTCACATTTTTTTTTCTTAAAATGGGAACAAATATTAATTTTTATTGCAAATCGTTAAGCAGGTACCTGCTGTTTTTGAAAATGTTGATGTGTATAAATCAAAATGCTCGAATCGTGTAGTTTCTAACTTATAATAATCCAAGATTCATTGGAAATGTATAAGGATTTATAGAAATGGAGACTTAGATAATTTGAAAATTATACCTAGTTAGTTGTATTTTTATGATGTTAGGCTTTTTGCTTTTTGAACATTGACCGAGTGTGATAAGTATTTATGGGAGATTGTAAACTCGGCCCGAGGAAAAAACATTTTCAAAAGGTCGATGGTAAACTCGGCCCGGGTTTTTTTCAGGTAAAAATTATTTAGATGTAAAAACCATGATTTTTCTTATAATATTTTTGAGAAACATTTAGCATTACCCAGAGGACACTACGAGGAGGTGGTTCTCATTATCCTCCAAAAATTATTTTCATTTTCATATTATTATTCATAGTATTTATGTATACTATTCAATATTAAATCTATTTTATTTTTTCCAACGTAGGTCTAATCTCCATATATACTTGACACATTACCATAGATGACAGCATGTTATCCTTAAAACACAAAGTTACATAACTTAAAAACTACTAGTTTGAATTCCGATTTAGATACATCAAAATTCTTAAAAAAAATATCTGCTTATAGTAATGAAAAATGAAAAAGGGATGTTCCAATTTGAAAAACTGAAGTTTGCATTATCACACGATCATCATAAGCGCTACAACCAATTTCAACGATTCGAAAAATGGTCTTCAAGTGTATTTAAAAATGCCAATAATCTGATTTGTAGCATAATTTAAGAATACAAATAAGATGAGCATGCTTATAAAATCATCCTGTACAATGTATAATGTATATATATATATATATTTAAATATTATTATATATCTTACTCAATGTTAATATGCGTTCTGTTCACCTGTTAAAGAACATATTATTTTGCCTTGAGCCCCCCCGACACGTAAACAACAAGTCGGTAGTGCGTGAACCGCGGCGGTATATATTTTAAGCTCCAGCCCGCCGAAACGGTTCGTTTAAAGCTCGTAATTGTTTTAAGCTCAACCCAGCATTGGATGACGACTACTGCATTCGGCGTAATTGCACGCACGTACATTATATTATTATATATTTTATAATGTATTATTATTATTATTCTCACCAAGATTGCCGGCCCGAATACTGTTGGCGCGCGCGTTTTCAGGTGCTGTCTCCAGGGGGAGGATGCGACGGACCGTTTTAATTTAAACGGAATGCGCGCGTTCCAAGACGTCCGCCGGCGGTCGACCGGAAAATTCCAGACGCGCCGCGGGCAGGAAAAAAAATATGAGATCGGGCCCACCCCTCGCCACGCATCGTCTCCAGTCGTCGCGATGTGCCATCCGCCGCACCAACAGACTTCCCCAGTGGTTATATTTTTATTTTTTTCATCTCCCAAATCCGATTGTTGGCATTTCCACGACAACATTACAATATCGCCGTCTCACGCAATGTGATATCGTATAATATATTATATTATTTTTCGTTGCCCCAGCTCGCACGTCGTAAATTACGTGAGATTTTATTATTTTAATCTCTGCGAGCGTACACGGACCACTCAGCGTATTATAATGAATAGGAGGTGAAACTTGCACCGAATTTTTTAGGGTTTATGCCCTATACCTACCCCTCATTCATTCTTTATATTAATCAATGTGAACAATTCCGGTGCACCAATAGGTACCTACTTCACTAAGTTATTACGTCATATTATTGCAAGACTGGTTTATAATATAATTTTTCAACAATAATTATGAATATAAAATATTTACATTAATACAAATATACATATTTAGGTTACTAGGTTAAGTACCTCCATATTATTTGATTAATTAAAACATTACAATTTTGTTTTAATCCAGATTGTCCGTCTTTTAAATTATACATCAGTATATATTACCATTTAATCGTCATTCATTAGTACATTTACAACATATCTTTCAATATTGTTAAAAATACTGATGATCCGCAAATTTGAAAAACAATCTTGCAGCATAAGTGATCGTTCTTGGCCAATTTGTTGTCTCTTTGAAAAAAACATTTTTTGAAAATGTTATATCTGAATACACTATAATTGAGGGAACTATAATTGAAATATTTGGGATCTAATCACCTATAGTGGTGCAAATAACGTATAAAATTAAATTCGTTTGCACAATCATATTGTAATTTAATACTAAAATGTTATAAAAAATATTATTACATTTTTCTAAAAAAAAAAAAAATGATACAACTAAAATTAAGTAATTTGTTAAAACGGTCGTATCACCTTGTTATGTAAGAATATTGTGTCATAGGGATGCGTGTAGCATCGAAGTCTCTATTTCAATATTACAGAGCACACAATAATTTATATTTCAATAGAGCTGTAGAGTAACTGAATTTTATTGTATATACACTATACACTATACAGTGAATTTGATCAGTTTACAGACTCGTATTACGAGTCGACGCGAAAAGAGACAAGTTTCCTACGATACGCATATAACACGTCCATGCCTTTGCTTTGTTTTTGGTGCGTATCTTGGTTGAAAATTTTGTCGTAAAACGACACTCGAGATTTGTACAGGGCTTAAACAATTTACTTTTTGAAAATGACAAAATATTGATTAATGACTTCCGGACATCTTAGACGATCATTTTTGTACACACTATTGTATACAAATATAATAATTATAAGTCTATCTTGTCTTATAACTGATCGATTGGGCTAAATAAAATGCTTGTACGAGACACTCTTTACTCTGTAGCCCACACTTGACCCTACTGGTATAGTAGTATACTAACTGTTTTTTAATCTATTTTATAATATATCATACTAAGTTTGTGTAAAAAAACCCATTCACTCTTCAAGAATCAACAACTAATAGTTTAGCTATTTATAATCTTGTGATTTAAAAGTGTATAAAATGCACTAAAAAAAAGTATCGTATTAATATTTAATGGTTTTTTATATGTGAGAGTTTATATAATTTATAGGTTGTTCAAACTCATAAAAATGGCTAAAGATTGCAAATTAATTAATAATTTCTATTAGCGTTTTTGAAATGTTTTTATTTAAAAAAAAATGGTTTATACATTTAAATCTCCTATAGTTTTTTACTGTATTAAAAGAATATATTTTAAAAGTTGTCTTCTATATTTTTATAGGTAGGGAACTATATTGTTATTACAAGTATTGGTATAATTGAAATCGTATCTACATTTACAATATCTATAATATAGTTAAATTTGAATCCATACAAGTGATACTAATTTAATAGGATATGTATTATAATTTATAATGTGAATAAAAAAAATAAAATTAATAAAATTGTAATAATCGACTGCAAGTAAAATCATAGAAGTATTATAAACTAAGTCAATTAACTAAAACCGTTTTATAGAAACTTAGTCTATAAATGAATACGCATTTCTTAGGTTTCTTTTGACACATCGCATTCGAGCACAAATAAATTGAATACTAATAGTAAATACAATAATTGAAAATAAACATTACAGAGCATTGCAGAGTGGCCATAATAAAAATAAAAAGTTTATCCAAATGGGTAGGTTGGTAATAGTTGCGTCTAGTAGGTCTCTCGTCTGTCTTCAGCTGTTGTTTTAAATGACGATAATTTATTTAAATTTTTAACTTCAAGCCACGCTGGGCCCGTCGTCTCAATATTATATCGTAGTTTTCATTTTTTGTCCGTTTACCAGTGAACGACACTTGATCGAGTAGTTTCGAAACCACCCTGAAAGATCATATAATATTAAATGTTTAATTTACGAGAGCTGCGACTACCTGCAGGACGTCGAACTTGGCAACGGTCTTGGAGATGCGTCGTGGCGAAGTTTAAGACGATCGTGGATGATAAATAGATTTATATAATATGCAAACTGTCAATGTTTAATGCGCCGGACGGACGACGACGATGTGACGAGGCTCCGAGACGTCGCGGTCAAGTGTTGTTATAGTGTAGTAAGATATATTATAATATACATAGTTTATTTAGCCTAAGGGCTAGTGCGACAACAGTGAAGCCTATATCAACAATAACACCGCCGTCGTAAGAGACCGAAAATCTTCTCCTCCCTCTGTGGTGGTTAAGTGCGGTGTAGGGGTTAGTGTCTAAGGCTTTGCTAATAATTACGTACCCTCCTGTTGGCGGATTAGTGCTCGCTTTATTTGCAGTGTTTGCGTTCGGCCCAAAACGCGAGCGAACCCTCGATGTCCCGAACGACTTCTTTTGTTTTTCTGGTTGATTTCTTCGGGTGTATGTGATAATAAACTGTCTGCTGTCTCACAGTATCGTCGTAAATTTATTATTTTATTTATGCGAATATGACAACAAACCAATAGACGAGTACAACAAAGCGATTTTTTTAATGTAAAAAGTACATTTTTAAAACGAAAAACGTAGATCTTAAGTATTCTAAACATATTCTATATTATACCGGTATGGGTTAATTATTTTTTAACGATGAACATACCTAGGAAAATAATGTGATTCGATAAGACTATATTGGATAGTTTGGTTTTATTCAAATACTTAATACATGTTTAGCGCGTGTTGTGAATCGGAGTTAATATACATATAATAATATTATGTTATGGTTTTTAGATAATTCTAGAGTGTTGTCATTACATTTTAAGTATTACAATATTTGCAATAATATTAATATGTTAAAACGATGATATTTCATATGATTTTATTTCATTTTTTCGTTTACACAAGGCCATATTTTATGATTCGTTCGTTTAACAAACTTCTGTGACACGTCTTACTAAAGTGTATCATATTACCTATACATCATAAAATATATTGGACATATTATATAAACTTATAAATATTAATATTCGATTTATATTTAATCGTGAGATGAAGAGAAATAGAGGTATTTGAAACGTGGCCACGTAGGTTTATCCAATTTTAAAGGCGACATATTTTTATTAAGAGAATATCGGAAATAAAATAACCGAAATCGTTTCAGTGATGTTTTGATTTTTCCATAGTAATATTACACGTCACCGGCAATATTTAGTAAGCCAGTGAGGGTATGTGTTACGGCGTGTGATAATCTTAAGTGGTTAATGCGTTTTACTTTTACGGTATAAGAGTGGTTAGTTGTTGAAAAAATATTACTACCACGGCCCCTCTCGAATAATATTGTTGGAATAATACTCAAGTTGAATAGGTACCTATTGTCTCTATATAAACTGTCCAGTAAATAATGTCTGCTCACGTGAAATTGTTATATTAAGTAGGTATAGTACGTTTCGAATAAAATAAAATATTGTGTATTTAAATATTATTATATTCGACTCATGTTTAGAAATGTTCATATAATATAATATGTGTTTATATTAATTTATTGACCGGTACAGTTGAGTGTTAGCGAATTGCATTTAAGATGTCGAAAAAGGACACGTAGTCGTTGATTTAAGTAACGTGCAAACAGCTTACGAACTGTAAGGAAAAATAAATATTATTCCCTGTGTAAATAGGCATACCCTGCAGTATTTTTACACGTCCACGGGGGTGTCGAGTGTTACGGTATACAAACATCAAATAATTGTCAACATTGGGACGAGTATATTTAGTATATGCATTATTATTATACAGTATTCATACGCCAACGCTAATGTAAAGAATAATAATAAAAAGGTTCGCAGCTGAGAAGAAGAAGAAATAGTGTTTGTAGTTGTTATATACTATACTATAAGTATAAAAAGCACAATGGCCAACAGTCATGTGCTCATATTGTACATTAGAAATTGTCAGATTACTAAAGCCTTAATTCTAATACATCTAAGTTTATAATTTTTTTATCCCTGTTTTTATTTTTTTATTTTCACAGACATGAAGATGAGCAAAGTGGGCAACCAAACCAACTCGCAAGACCCTCAGGCGGTTAACTCTCGGGTTTTCGTGGGAAATCTCAACACATTTCAATGTAGCAAAACCGACGTCGAAAGAATGTTTCAACGATACGGCCGTCTAGTGGGTGCGTATATATTATATTGTTTAATCTTTAATGTATAATAATGTTCATTTTCGTATAATATATTTTTTTTTCACATAGAACCTAAGGAAAAATGTGTTTTGTCTTAAAATGTGACGTTTTAAAAATTGTTGACTATTTTTTTAACTTCAATCAATTCATTATAATTCATCCGACAGCCGATTTTCACCTATTATACAGGTTTTTCATATATGAATAAAAAGCTGCCTAAGCCGATATATTTTCCATATTAATATAACAGAAATAATAATATTTTTTTTTATTTTACGAATATCAATAATATAATGTAACAGAAATGTCAGTAGACATATTTTTTGGCATAATAATTGATCTACATACCAATTAAATTCATGTACAGTACAATAATCATGACAACATGATTTCGATAAAATCAAAACGTTACCTAACCTTATATATTTATTGTAATTTGTGTAGGGGAGTACCTAGTTTAATTGTGCGTGTTAAAAATGTTATGTAGGTATTCTCTAGAAAAAGGTTACGGTCGGTAAAAAAAGTTGCCCTAACGATAAAACGAGCACTGTGATGACATCGTAATAGGTACTATAATATGTTACATTGACTGGTTGATTAGAAATTTTATGTTTAGGCGACAATCCCCCTGCAGACTAAATGGTCATTATATTTTGAAATATGAAACGACCCGATTTTCGATTCCAATTGCATGTGTTTGCACCGAACTCATAAATAACATAACTATACCTCCTGCCGAAAAACCAAAATATGTTTAGAAAAGGATTATAATGACTGAAGTATATATTAATTATTATACGAATTTGCAGTTTGTATGTATTGCTTATTTGGCGTGACTACACATAGTGATAATTAATAGTCATATATTATCATAATAGTATAGTGACTATTAATACAGTAAAATCTCGCTAAGACGGAATCGCTTGGTCCGAAAAAATTGTTCGTCTTACTGGGATTTCTCGATTTCTGTCTTAACGAAGTTCTACTGTACTGAAATTAGTTAACGCAAATCCTCAACCACCAAGTGGCGACGGCCATGTTCTGATGAACACCTGCCAATCAATAGTGTAGTTCAAAAGTAGGGTATGACGGCCGTGATTAATTAATTAAGACTGTTTAATTTGAAGGCGCTAATACATTTTTAATATGATATTATTACCTCGTTAACTATGCACTGGGGGATGGACATAAACGCTATTATTTAGAATTGGCTATCCGTTTATAAACACACGTTTGTCAGTTTTCCTAAAACATTTTCTAGCTCCAGTGTAATTTATTTACGGTACATTTAAAATGCTTACAATATTACTATTTACTCCGACAAACACGCCTGCAAGCTTCTATCAGGGTCCTTTAATCCTATTAAGTACAAAGTTCGGTCACAACAATATGTATAGTCGTGTTCTGACACTATCGTCGGCCGCCGTCACTATAAGACACACATTCCGGAAGACCGTTTCGAACAAAATATATAATATGTACATAATATTAATTCGAACGTCTTATATTAGATATATATAAGTACAGCACAAGTGCTGCGGTATTATTTACGCCACCACGCCATTAAACATAATACGATAGATGATCATTACATTTTTGGTATAGTTAATTTTTACCAGTCTTCGCCGACCGGTGATACGAGGAGATTTAGTTTTTAGGCAGCGTATTATTATTTTCACGATTTTAAACTCGAACAACTGAGGATTTTGTCAGCGTATACGAGAAAACATATTATCCGCAAGGTTCACGATATACATATAGATTATAGTCATTTTGTGAGTGTACGTCGGAAACGACGAATTCTTTAGCTTCCGAAGTTTCGACGATGGAATTTGGGTGACGGAATAGTCGTCGTCGGTGGTTAGGTTGTGGTGGTAGTTCGGGGGCCGGAAAATAGAAATGGGCTTGAAAATCGTAGCCGGAGATACGATAGGTATAGGTTTATGTATTGATAAATCCGATGGACATTTCAGAAGGTTTTTTTTATAGGTGACCCAGCCTGCCAAGTCATAACAATATTATGCCAGATAATTCTTTTAAAATATATAATTAGGTAAACACAGTAAAATCCAAAAAGAGGCGGTATTGTTAGAACGGTGGTGTTGACCAACTCTGCAAGTGTTCAAGTGTTCAATTCTTTATTCATTCTCAAAATTACTTATATTATGCATTATGCATTGTTTGTGTAGATTGTAAATATTTTTAGTAATAATATAAAAAGCACTAAGTAGGGACCGACACATTTCATCAAAAATGATCAAACTACGATTTTATTATTTTTTTTTTTTTTATCTATTTTAAGTGTTCTATTTATATTTTAACTCTTCCCTGCGCAAGTATTTATAAAAAAAAAATACCATACCTGCACACAAATTGAAATGTTCAAAATTTACTTTATTCATAGTAAAATTAACTTTTTATACACTAAAATATTTGAAAAAAAAACAATTCTTTTTTGCAACTTTTTGTTTACATTATGGGAGGTAGGATGACTTATATCCCGCTGTGCATTAAAAGGTTAATGACATTATACATGTTTTATTTCATTTTTCAGAATAAAATATATTTTTCTAAGAACTTCAATACATAAAAATCAAGTTATTATAATATTAGCTAAATCGTATGTAAGTAGAATAGTGGACAAACATTTGGAAATTCTGAAAATAACACGTTTGTGTATACTATTCTGAAAATATTCTGCTTAGGATATGAAATTATACCTACCTGGCTACCTATGCTGTCAATCAAAACATACAATAATTCGAGAAATTTTAACTTTAAGAAATAGCTAAAAATATAATTTTGTTTTCATCAATTTGTTTTTCTATATAAACGGGCTATATGCTCATTTCCAATAATTATATTCGACGTAATTATACGCATAGGAAAGTTAGATTTATATAATAAACAGAAATAGCAAAAATACACTAATATAACAATATTTTTGAGAATTGATAGTTTTAAAATAAACTAAACCATTTTGAAGTTCAATTAGCTTTCGGTATACCTAAGGGTTATACTATAATTATTATCATTGTAATGACTTCGAATTATGTGGGTAAACAAATGTAATATTTCTAAAAACATCAAACAGTTTCGTTAAAATGAGTGTGTTTACCTTTAAAACAAACGTCCCGTTAAGGTGTACCTGCACACAATGTATAAATACATAATAAATATATAGTACCAAACCAGCTGTTATAAAATATATAGGTACGCCTAGTGATGAAAAACCTTTCCGTTTTTTCACGATGTTATTATTATTATACGCAGATCGTAGTCATTATTGAAACAATAATTTATACACACACACACAAGCTCATACTCATGCATACAAATATACGTAGGGCGTGTATATGTATATACAATACGATATCCCGTGCGTACACATTATATATTGCGATATTATTATATACGGCCCCACACAAAAGGGGGGGGGGGGGTGACGCGTTAATACGTCGCGCGAGCACGCTGCAAACACAATGGACATATATATACATGTATACGGTGGCGTTAAATTAAAACGAGCCACTCTAAAGCGTATATTATGTATAATGTGTATATATATATATATATTTTGTGTATAGTCGTCGAGCGATTTGACGGCCGGCGGCGGACACACAATGGCGTAAACCACGCGGCCGATAAACGCGGCGGCCAAAAACCACCCCCCCCCCCCCACTACCACACCGCACGCGTTAAGTAGCGGCACACGAGATAATGTAGTGTCTACCCCCCGGGGCGCCCGAGCTCGCAGTACCCTCCCCCCGCATCCCGGAAAAGCGTCGGGCAAGAGGTGGTACCGCGGCGTTCCTATATCTCGCCGCCGGCCGATTTGTACGACAGACGTGACGACAATAATGCTATGATAATAACCATATCGATGGACGATAATCGGGAGAATGATGATAATTATTGATAATCGGGTCTGCGAATTTCCATAATATGCGTCCCAGGGATTTTTTAGTTCAGAAGAAGTCTCTAACGTTCGGTCGTCGGTATATTGAATTCGAACCGTTCGCTTGTTTTCATCGACAATATAATTTATTGTAATAATTGGAGGGGTTATCCCGAAAGCGGAATACGACTTTTTTTCACGACGTGGGTCCGAATCTCATCGCGAAGACGAAAGATAACTTTGATATATATATATATATATATATATATCTTGATTACACGACCGACGGGACTTCCGCAGATTTAAAATCGTAAGAGACAAGCCTTTCACGCTATTCGTTCGTTCAACGTCACGAGACAATAAATAATAATTATATCACCGTCTCTCGACTATCGTCGGGTTACTATATATGTGACAGGGAGAAATATGGCGGGTAATAATTATTACGTTCATTCACGGTACCCTTATAATATAAACGAATTTATTGGTTTTACGAGACCGTCGGCGTTTCCGAGACACAGAGTATTATATTTTTCAATCGTTAAAAAAAGCGGCGTCGTTCCGTTCGAACAGTTACGGAATAATTATTTTACACCTGGGAATTGTAAGTATAATGTATTATATGAATCTGCGAATAATGTTTAAATGTTCATCTCTGACAAGTGTGAAGTGATTATAATATTTAATACAATATTCCAACAACTGCAGTTCTCGATTAGTAATCGATAGGTTTTTAGTCAGTGACGAATGGGAATCGTATAATAACCGTTGTATTATATAGCCAAACACGGCGACATATTTTTACAAGTCACCTGCAATTTAGGTTTATATTCATTTCAATAGATATAATATAAGCTATATTATAATATTCCTTGTCGAAAACATGCAGATTAAATCAATTAATATTATATAGTATTATAGTTAGGTTTTTTTTTTATTTAAAAATAAAACTTATAGCTGATAAATAATTTTGCTTTAAGTGAATAAACCGATTTTTGACAGGATTCAAAAACACTTTGAAATTTAAAAACAATAATAATTCTAATAATCCCCATCGGTAGCGGGAAGCGTTGGTAGACGGCGGTGAGTATAATCAAGAAATATATCAAAGAAGTACCGTTAGCGAGTACCGAGTAAAGGTATTGATTGGATAAAAAAAAAAAACGCGCCGAAGGGGGTTATTTCGCCAATTTATATTATAAAGAAGCACTTTAAGACTAAATATACGGAACCGCTGTCAAAAGACCAATTTTACTCGTATAGGAGAAGATGATCGGAATAAAATTCATGTATTCGTCGGGGGTTGCTATCGGCCAACACTTTCAGCTCATTTCGAATGTATGGATCGACAAAACTTGTTAACATCCCCATAGCGTTTCCGAAAAGGTATATAATATTTAATATGGCAACGGAATATACGCTGTCCAACCCCTCCACCGCGCTATGTATACTTTCTATATATAGGTACACGCCATCCATGGTAGTACCGGTCGGCCCTGTGCAGTACCTATCTATGATACGAAGGCGAAAGACGGGTAGAAAATTATTAATTTGAGTATCGTGAGTTGTCAGCGACCGTAAAAAATATTACGCTAGTTCAAAATTACTGCAGTCACGTATATGTACACACACACACACAAACCGTAAACCCCCTCTCGGGGATTATTAGAATCTAAACACGTCATCATGGTATGAAGTCGGGGGTAGGTACCTACAATATTATTACCTCTATAAACGGTAAATCAAATCTTAAAGATAAAAATATTTTATTACGCACAATGCACAAACAATGTATTTTTGTATTAATATAAAGGTATAATGGTACGCGTATTTTAAGACGCACAAAACAAAAAAAAAACGGTATAAGAACGCCGTAAGCATATTATGTATAGGTATATACCAATCATTGACCGCGATGGCGAATATTGGTTTATGAAGCTCGACTTGGTAACGTTGTAATGACTGAATTGGAACATAGCATAGCTAATTTTTTTTTTTGTTTTCCTTAAGCTCGTGTCCGAAGTTTTCGATCCGTCGGCGATCGCACTATTTGAAAGCTTGAATACCGGTGATCGCTCTGCCCAATACAAGGCCGTGGACGTCGTGGGTACCTTCGTAGGTGTTAACGGTTTCCAGATTTATGAGATGTCGGATCACGTGGTACTCGTCACTAATACCGTTTCCCCCGAGCGTGTCCCTCGCCCACCTCGCGATGTCCAACGATTTGCCGGTGGAGTTCCTCTTTATCAGCGATATCATTTCCGGTGTGGCCAAACCTTGTTCCTTTAACCTTCCCACCTGCAGACACGCCAGCAAGCCGATGGATATCTCAGTGACCATGTCGGCGTATTTCTTCTGGATCAGTTGCGTGGCGGCCAACGGTTTGCCGAATTGTTTGCGATCCAGGCAGTATGTCCGGGAAACGGACAAGCACGCTTCGGCCGCCCCGAAAGCTCCCCACGCAATGCCGTACCGGGCGTGGTTCAGACAGCTGAAAGGTCCTGAAAAAAGCGACGGTCATAAATCATGACGATTATCATGATAATTATTTTGACAGAAGAATACCATGTATTCCAGCTACCTGCAGCTAGGCACTTTATTATATATGTATATAGCATAACTTGAGTGATCCAATTAACGTAAGATACTTGTATTACTTTAGAAAACACAAACGTTTTTGAAAATATTCCTCTAACTTTGTGTCGTTACAAAACAACATTTTTAAATTTCATACCTATTTCGATCTATAAAAACCAAATTTTGGATTAGATATAATAATTATAAGTACATATGTATTTAAAGTTAAGATAAGCGAAGTAGTGAACCAACATATCAACATTAATTTAAACTTTAAACACTTATAAAGTTATAACTCATAAACTATAGGTAAGTACTCGTCTAAGATTCTACTTTTATCAAAGTAGGTACTCCAAAAAATATCTGTTTTGGAATTAGGGATTTAAAAAGCTAGGTATCATAAAAAAAAATAAAACATTTAACGAATGATGATTTTGAGTTAAAAAAATATATTTTATAGGAAAATATTGTTTTTTAGTGACTTAAAATTGTGTAGAATAATATTATTTTTTGTAATAATTAACGTTTAACTCTTGTCTTACGTTAAATGAATCACCCGCGGCAGCATATTTTATTATGTTATATAAGAAAAACCTTTACCTCCCATACCCGTGGCACCGGGCAGAAGGCTGTCCTCAGGCACCACACAATTGTCCATGTACACAGACCCGGTGCTGGACGCTCTCAGAGACATCTTTCCGGGTATGACGGCAGTCGAAAGGCCTGCTGTGCCCTTTTCCACCAAGAACCCTCGGACGCGACCGTCATCGCACCTGGCCCACACCACAAACACGTCAGCCACCGGTGCGTTGGTTATCCACGTCTTAGCGCCGTTTAAGACGTAGGATTTAGTGTCCGCGTTGTACTTGGCTTTGCTCTCCATCGTCCCGATGTCACTGCCGGCGTTTGGTTCGGTCAGGCAAAAGCTGCCCACCAGGTCAGCGGAGGCCAGCCGCGGCAGGTACCGTTCCCGCTGCTCTTCGGTGCCGTACGCGTGAATCGCGTGCATGACCAGCGACGACTGGACGCTCAGGGCGGATCTAAAACCAAATTGGCCATCCACACCCGTCAATGACCGCTACCAAGCGAGGAGGTTCTAGTAATAAAATGTCATCGAGAGGGGCGCCCGTTTTGAGAGGGATGTGAGGTGACTATAAAAACGTTAAAAAAAAACAATTTCTCTCGAGTCTGGACCCGCGTCTGACTGTTCATTGAAATATCATTGAGAGAACAGTGAAATTTTCAAATTTAAAATCGATATCCTGATTATACAATATTTTATTTTCCATCACTAAAGCCGGTTCTATTCCTATTTTTCTATTTTAACGACAACTCAATTTAAAAGTATAACCATTTCCATTTATAGTCAAATAATACGAAAATTAATTTTTTAAATGTTAACAAATTACCTCACGGGCACTCCCCGCTTACATGTAAATGAAAACCGTCTAACCTATATGCACTGTCGACTCTTTCCACTTCTCTAGCAATGAGACCGTATCCGACCTGTGACACTTTGGTACAACCGTAGGCCCCAATAGTACATCCTAATGCGCCCATTGACGCCATTTCTTTGAGCACTTCCTTTTCATACACGCCGTCACGATTTGATTTAATTATTCTAGGCATGAGTGCTTTTTGACAAAAGTCCCTGAACGAAGATTTCAACTGTCGTTCGTCGTCCGTTAAATTGTGATCGATGTTTAGTGCATCTTCCCAGTCAAAACTCGCCACACTTGACGCGGAACGCACACAACGACGTCGTAAATAATGTCTCAAGACCATCGACGTTGAGTTCTGAAAAAAATATGAGTGCATAATGTGGTAGTATTTTTAAGTAAAATCTAACACTGAAAATTCATCAACAATAAAATCTATAATTTTTGTTTAAACGTACCTACTAAATAATAACAATAATAAATTAAATAATAAATATTGACAAAACAAAAACTACAATTCTTACAATAATTTTATTTTGATTTTTGTAATAACTATTCGTATTTCTTAATTTGAATAACTTTCAAGGGGAAAAATAACTTTATCGTGATGAATTTTATTAAGATACGTTTATATCAATAGACAAAAAAAATCAAATTGTAAATCAGAAATCGTTATAAAATACAACATATACCTAGACTTAGTGCGCCCTGGGTGTTTCTAATTGTGCACACATTTATAGATACTATCCTAGAACAAGAAACATGGTTGCGGAACGAAAGGTTGAGCTATAGATTTAAATTTACCATAGTCAGTGATTCAATTTGGAGGCTACGTTTGGAGTGGTATACTGGTGTAGGCTTAAACGATTTATAGGAAAAATATATAAATTGGTGGCTGGTTTGACTTGTATAAATGTTTCGATCAAATATAATAACGGAGAATGTTGTAGCTTTTATACTTAATTCGTATATGATTATAACCCTCATTTGGAGTCCCGACCTGACCAAATAGAAAATAATAATTTTGGTTGTATAGCCAAAACCAGCGGTGCAAAGCAGAAATGGAAACGTCAAAAACAGTGTCTATTTGCCAACATCGTTTTACATATTTAAAATATGTGTCTCGAACACGCGAAAAACTAGCTTGCACGAGTTGTTTTCTCCTACCAATTGGTTTGTGTCCAATAGTCGGCCGAAAGACAATTTTTAACGTTTTTAATGATTTTTATCGTAGTTATAACACTTCATCGGTATTATAAAATGTCTGTAAATACACTCGAAATAAAAAAATATCCATCTTCGGTTAAGACAAATCGACTATTATCGTCGAACAATGAGCTAAAGTTGAAATTAATAGATAATATTTTGTATCTATATTTGTATATACTTGAGAATATATTATTATTATAAAAAATACAAGCGTATGATAAATGTATAACAAACCTATATATTAAAGGGGAGGTGACCTTTGTTTAAATACAAAGTATAAACACACACTGTTTACACTACGTCTTAAAATCGATAGGTATAACAGTAGATGAATATTTTCCATTTCATTTATTGAATAGAGGGATGTAATAAATAATAATGCAAAATTACGAAAACCCGGGCGATAAGTATTAAGTATTTAAGTACAAAACCACACGCTATAACGTCATTGGAAAATTTTAAACACGCAAAAAGCGTATAATTATTCGAGTTAATATATTACATGCTGTAAATATACATAATATAATAGAACACACACATTCTGAGACATCATCATCATTATCATCATTGTTATTTATAAGTTATAACATACGACGCATGTTCTACACATGATTTATCAAAATTATTAAAACTAATTTATACAAATTAATACAGATTAAAAACAGGTACAAATGTGCAGTATAATATAACGTTGGTTCATTTTTATATTTTCAATTACCATATTACATTAATATATTAATACAACAGTGAAAGGAATACGCAGGCTAAAATTAGGAACTACTCGGTAGACGTTTGTAGGTGGGTAATATTGCGAAAACATAATATTGATATAATATAGTATAGGAACTAGGAAAGTTATCATCGCGCTTATTCTATTCTATAGATTATAATCATACAACTATACTATTGTAGTGACATTACTCGAAAGCTTTGACAACGGGTCATACACTCATACTTAGTATTATTTTATAATCTATACTTGAGTATACAAATTATTTTATAAATATATTTAATTTAGTTTATTTGAACATATAACTATTGTTTAACTAACAAATATTAACATGTTTATGCAGAAATCAGACGTTTATAGGTATATTATATCATATTATAAACGTATGTATAGAAATAGTAGTCATTATTAATAATTATTAATTTTAAGCAATATGAAAAAATACCTATACGTATTAACTATGGAAGTTCATATTTGACTATATTAATACGTATTTTTGTTCAATGCAAGTATTGACTCAATCAAGTAATTACATAGGTAATTGATACAATACGGAATTACTGAGACAATCGTGTTCGAGACATGACGTGATTTTAACGAAGTGGAAATCCATCCAAAAGTTATATTAAGACAATTTAACTAAAAGCTTCAAATCTTTAGTAATAGTCCCATCTACTTAGGTTTATTTGTAAAAAATCAATCTTACTTGCATCGTGAAGGAGGTCCGCCACAATTTCGAAGGTGGTTAATCAATATTGTGGTGGACAAAAATGTATTCAACGCCTACAGTTAGTGGAAGAAGATCGAGGAAAACCGAGGATAAATACAACAAAACTGCGTCAATAACATTACGCTATCAGACAAAAAAATAAAAAACTGATATCCGTTATCCGTTTATCAGTCACCGTGAACGCACGCGCAACTGGTCTAGGCGAGCGAGTAGTAGTGTAGTGTTGTCTGTCGGTTGGTGGGTCAGCCGCAGTTTGGCCAACGTACCCAGTGGAACGCGGTATCATAATTGTTGTAATAATGATAATACCGTATCGACTAAACTTTCGCAATACCATAATATTATTATTATTATATTTAATGGTTCTCAGCCTGCAAAACGACGGGACGTGACATGGATGGTTCAACCTTTGAAACTCTAAGCATAAAGTTCTTTTTTTTCTTAAATCGAGTTTACCAAATATTCTTGTAAACAATAATAAGAAAAATTATCAAAAATTCTTAAAATGATTTATAATTTTAACCGCAATATTGGAACCTACGTGTTACGTGTCAACAAACTGTTTTGGCGAAATCCGACATTAGTTAAAATTCAGGAAAATATTATTTTACAAAAATATTAATTTTAACACAATAAAACACGGAGGATAAAAAATTTAATTTTTTTTATTTAAATTTTAAAACAATAGAAATTAAATTTACATAGGTACTTAGGTAGGTAGGTAGGTATATAATTTAGTTCCCTTGTGACCAATATTATATTTTATACGCATGTCGGACTTGAAATTTAATTTTTGGATATGTGGCATTATACTGCTTTGTATCCCTGCTTGTTTCTTACTCTGGGTTAGGAGGGAAGAGTTTATAAACACGAGGGGAAACGGGCCTAAAATATTACTGATGCAGATATAAAATATATGGTGTTTTTTGTAGTGAAACAAAATAAAATGCTGATTGAAATTTGGAGGTGGATTAAAAAGAAAAACTAAAAAATGAGACTTGATTATCTTTGAGCTCGGTGTGAACTTAAAAGCAATAAAATAATTAATAAATAATAATACATTATTGTAATGGTTGGTTCAAAACGTAGACATTTTTCAGTTAGTACATATAACAGAAATATGAAACAAGTTTAGTGAGTTACCCCCAGACTTTAATTATTTCAAGTAAATAATATACTTATCTATAGCTAAAGTAGAGACCCGTCTATAATAATATTATACACGGTAAACGGTTTTACAAAAGCCTCGATTGGCTTATGCGATTACCTATATTATTCAAACATATAAGCACATATATATACGCATTATGTCGATAGGTACTTCTATGTTATATATATATATATATATATATATATATGTGTATATTATAATATATTATATTATTATCTGTTGGGTGGGTAATGAATTTAAATACAATAGAATTAGACGCCACTGTTATAGATGTTTGTAATTTGTATATTATTATGATCTAATTATCATTTTGCTTTTAGACCATAGACAAAGGTTTTATTTTTCAATTATTTGTTTTGCCATCGACGTCTTTGTGCGTCTGGACATAATATTATATTATACGTTGTGTGGCGTATAATAGCTATTTGTGTCGATAAAATCACAACGTACAGTTAAATTATCTTAACATTATGTGCGTTCATCATTTATTAGATTCTGAGCGCGATGTGAAATGGTCATCGAGGTAGTCCGCAGTCGTTTGATATTATACCTACCGTTTATGTGTATATGTGTTTGGGTTAGGTTAGAAAACGCATTTTAGGCAGGTGAAAAATGTTCAAGGTTAATTCTATTATCCCTAACCTTACGTACCTAGGTCATGGACATTGATCATTAGAATATTCATGATAAATAAGCTGTGGTAAATTAATAACAAACGTTTTTCACTGAATCTTGAACCCCTCAGATTTTTGAGTATGGCTTGATCACAATCTGCTAGAAAAAGTTGTAAAAACATAATACTATAGGTACAACTTACAACTTTAAATACCTGTACAAGGTTTATCTCGTTTTTATTTAATCAAAAAGTTTTTATTTTTCGTGAATTAAAAAAAAATTATTATTAAAATGTGGGTATAGGCATTAAAACCGTTTAGCATTAAAAATACAATTATTATTGACATTTCAGTATTTTTTTTTCACATTAATTATTTGGAGTAGGGAAAATATAAGACAGCCCAAAGACGAATAACTGTCTCTTGTTAAAATTATGAATTTAACAATTTAATTGAATTGAATTAAAAATTAATTAAGAAAGGAAAATGTTATATTTTTAATTATTTTGTAAAAATCTAATTAACGAGCGTTTTATCCAATTAATGTATTAAATATATTTTTTCAAATACTACACATTTAATTTTGAAAGGTAAAAATAGATGTATTAACCAAAAGATTAACGATCGATCATTTTTAGGTAATATTATTATTAGTCATTCCAGACGTATATATAATATAATATATACATTTAAAATATATTCTATAAAACACAGATTGGACCATTAATGTATTAATTATAATTTGTAAAATAATTATAAGACAATTATATAAATAATAATTATACAGTACATATATCAAATAAAATGCCATTTGTATTATAATTTGTAGGTTCCTATATACCTAATATATTAGATTGTTATATAGATATGTAACCTTGAATGTCCTTTAATTATTTTCCAATTCCAACTTTATCCTTAGGTTTTACTAATGAATATTAGGATTTATAGACTACTTCATGAAACTGAAAATGTTTGGGTCTTATGCTTTTACCTTAAACGAGTTAACATTTTATAGCACATTCTATAAGCTGTCACTGAACAGTGTTTTTGTGAAATCTGAACTAATCAATAATTAGTTATTACTGAAACGAGAACATTAGAAATTAAAATTATGCCAAAAGAGTTAGCGCACATGTCTGTTATCAATAAAAATCTATATGAAAGTTAATAATTAGGTACTTTATAGTTTATTGTACTTATTACGTAATATATAGATACCTAATACCTACCTATAAATTTTTTTTACACAATTAATTTGTTTAACAGTTTAAAATTGAATTAATCAATTTTTAATCATATCATTGTATTAAAACATTCATAAAATCTATTGGAGTAGGCCATATTAATATTAATAATAGATAGCCGGTAATATTATACAAAAAGTAAATAATTAAAAAATTAATATCAATAACCATACATTTCAGCAGAAGGGTATCTATGATAGTGTATACTACACTAATCATATGTTTAGATTGTTGGGATATGTATCATATGTTAGGTTATAGTGTACTACGATTATTGTTTATTAGTTATAGATAACTCCTTAATATGAGTGGTCATAGGAATGTGGTCCTACTATACATTGTAAACTGAAATATTAGTCATATAAGTAACTTATGGTAAGCTGTGCCTATATTGTTGAACTAATTATTATTGTGGCACGTATTGCGTACGTAATCCAAATATATAAAATATAATAACTATCTCTTTGAACATTTTTGGTAAAGTCATTGACGGCAAAGGGCTCCCTTTAACTCCCGATTCGAATATTTTAATTAGTGCACAGTATTATATTACTGATTAACATTTAAAATTTAATAGAGATACCATATAGGAAAAGGGCACAATGCACTTGAAAACGAGTGCACAAAAGAATTTTACTAAAAATATTTAATACCTATTACCTACATATAGTATTATAATACATTATTCACAATATTATGTGTTTATATGACCTGAGGACGGCTGAGATTGCTGTTAATTATAGTATATATTTTACGTATACGTTTAATGTTTAAATATAATACGAAAATATGCTGTTAATGACACCAAATCACAAAGTGGCTGGCTAGGTATGTATATATTATTTCAACGGCCACAACACTATCAAAAAGTTTTTATTTTTTTCATTTTGTCAAAACGTTTATTATTACTATTATTATTATTCCTCAGAAGTCTTTTGATATCATATTTTTTTGCTTGTTTTTCCCATTTCAAATGCATGCACGTTGTTTGGTCGTGTGTATTTATACCTACCCTTCGGCGGCCGTCACCCACCAGTCCTTATTGCTGTTTGAGTCAGCTATTTGTTCTTTTCCTCTGTACAATATCCCTTCCGGCACTTTCATTTTCAAGATATTTCAGCAGCATAACCTCACGTTAAACATTTGTTTTTTATTTTTATTATTATTTTTTCTATATTTTTTCTATAGTATTATAACAGGTGTAATAAAATAATATTACTAATTTATTAAAAAAAAAAAACACAATTTTATAACACTTCAGTTTTCATTTTGTTTTGCGTAAAATTATGATATCATATGACTTATAACATATAAGTGATATAATTACAATTGGTAGTCAAACAAAATAAATTATTATGAGTCTTGCCTAAAATTCCTGAACATTTAATTTTGTTGAGTTTAATTGAGAATGTTTTAAATTTTAATACACAAATCGTATTGTTGTATTAAACTTAGGCCCTCCAGTACTAAATTTTGCCTCTTATTATGTTGTATTTCAATGTTTCACATCAGATAAGGTTTTTTAAAATATATATATACTAGCTGATCCCGTGCACTTTGTTGTCCGTTAAAATTGCCAACTCCATATGAGACTCAACGGTGATAATGCGAGCAGTATATTATGCTTACCTGTTGTGGATTGCGTTCCCCGCTTGGTGAGTACTTCATATAAATAATAGGTTTTATTTTTATTTTTACACTTCGATAAAGCGGCTATAAGTACAACTTAGCCACCAAGGTAGACAATGTGCGAAAATTCAATTGTACCTATGCATGCTTATATATAATCTGCCCGTTGAACCACTGCAGGCAACCAATAAACAAAAAAAATACCAATTTCTACTAAATATATTTGAATTTCTCCTATAACCAATAGCAACCGTATATAGACAAATATTTCCTTCGTAAATCTTAAAATCTATGTTTGAGCAACTCCCCGGGTCTGACCTATCGAGTCCAATGGTGAATCTAAACCACCTAGGGCGTCACTCAAACGCATACAAAAAAATCATTCAAATCGGCCCAGCCGTTTAGGAGTTCAGTGACATACACACGTACAGTAGAATTATATATATAAAGATACATAAATAAATATTTTTCTTAACATGAATGACTTCTGTATCTGATATTTTTCAAAAAGAATACAAACAATTATTGTACATTCGTATACCCTCAAGTCTCAAACGTAGGCACAATAACTATCTAATATATACACAATATTAAACGAACATATATTTTGTCAACCTATGTAGAGTGGGCCCATCAAAGCACTCAAATTAAAGTTTTCTAATAACGAAATAATACTTATAACAAAAAAATATATAACTTAATAGGTAATAACGTATAATATATCAATATATGTATACGTATTTCAAGGGATGACAAATTGACAGGGTGACAAAAATCTTTTCCTCAGGTCCGTCGGATACGTGAAGGCAAGAATGTGAAAGTGGTGTATGAGAGCCTAAATATAATAATTATAGAGACTGCTATAAGACGGAAGAGTGTCCGCAAAGCAGGTCCGGTTTTTATTCTTTTGTAATTCCAGTACGAAAACTATCTTATACTATAATGTACTCATGGTGACGAGCATACTTAGCAGTGGACGAAAGTCTTATACCTAGTTGAAAAATGTACTTGTTAGCAAAAAACACCCACAACACAAATTTAATACCAATAAATATTGGTCAAATATTTTTACAAAATGTATGAATTGTTGTAATTTTTTAATTTTTTTTCATTCAAGTTTCAAATCAGTATTATTGAAATTTGAAGTTACTATAGTTAGATACTAGTTATTATTTGTAAAATGACTTGGTGCTCAGAGTTAGTATTGTAGTGGAACAACTACACGAACGGTAGTACTATGCCACTGCGGATTTGAGCAGTGGTGTAAGACGTGTGGGTCGAGAATTTTTAATCAAGGGCCAATAATTTAAAACCAAAGAAAAAGTATTTTATATTATATTATACTTATGTAATGTCGGCAGGAGATCTCCTCGTCGAAATAAATACATTTTGGGGGTCGTGGGTTAAAAAAATAGCTCCCCACTTAGGTTACAGTGACCGAGTGCCCTAAACATGCCTATTATAAGAACGCTTATTATAATAGATACGACTTTCCATTAGATATTGTTATCTCGTATAATGCATATTGTTTGTTATACGTATTATATTGTTATCTTCGAATATCGTATTTTATTCAATTACGTTTCGTTGAATTTCGTCTAGAAATTTTTGTTTAAAATTTTTGTCATTTCATGGAAATGACGACGATGTCTGAAAAAAGGATACGAACGCTTATAAAAAATGTCTCGTACCTGCAGATAATAATAAACACTGCAGACATAAAATTGTCTAGAAATATATTATAATCATGACGATATGCACACGATGTGTAATTGAATCGTTCTGATAGTATTTTAGGTCAAAATAACTTAAGCGGTATGTTTCTCCGAACAGGCGATACGCGTTTCTACGAAACGCGCTTCTCGATGCTAAACAGCTATTCCGAATCGAAACGATCTCTCTTTGGATCCTTTTCTCGAACAGTTATAATAATAATAATAATAATAATAATAATATGTATATTATTAATATTATTATTGTATTAAAGTGTATGCATAGTTTTCCTTTGAAAGACACGCGCGAGCATATTGTATACATATAAATATATTTCGCCGGCAGGTAAACAATGCCAATATTAATAATGTAACAACTATTGCTCACGGTATTTATATAAAATGTTATAATAATATTAAAACGATATGCACGGTAATCGACTGAAAGGTTTACTACGATTCCGCCGCTCTGCGAAGAGGAGAGTGGTTGAGTGTGGGGGCGAGTAGAAGAAGCAGGAGACGGGTGCGCCTACTACAGCCCCCGACCATCATCACCTGATCTTAATTAACGTTATAATATCGTTATTATTATTATTATTATTATTATTATCATCATCATCGTCGTCGTCGTCGTCATTGTTACAATACGTTTTCGTTCGTGTTTCAGGTATATCGATGCACAAAGGATTTGCTTTCGTTCAGTTCACTAATCCCTTTGACGCTCGCAGCGCCTGTGTCGGAGAAGATGCCCGGACCGTTTTGGGACAAACATTGGGTAATTATTACGATGTATTAAAATATCACCTATAAACGTATTGTTCGAGTAGCATGTCATAGTCGTCAGTTTTTGTTTTATCGTCATCATTATTATTATTTCTGTAACAATTTTTTTCGTCTATTTACATTTAGTTATGTATTTATGTCTATAATATATAATTATATTAGTTAATACAATCAATGAGTACAGGATTATTTAAAATGATTAATCCAATATCAAATGCTCGGATATGATTAGTTTTTAAGTTTAGAGTACCTAATATGTGGATATGATGATATCTACATTAAAATACCTAACAGAATGATATTTCAAATTTATTTAGCGTTACCTATAAAATATGTTCTAAATGTGCCATATGGGTCACCCCTTGGTCATTCGAACAAAATCTATGGTCGGAACTTGAATTCATTCCATGCATATCTGTTGTAATCATTGACTCCGTTAATATTTTAGCTCCTATGCCGCAGTGGTTAATGATAACATACCGGTGGTACGTACACTGCAGTATCTTAATATCCCAAAAATAAATAGTCACATCATGGCGTAAGATCAGCTGGCGACCAATAAGAAGCCTGGGGCAAAGCATCATCGAATGATTCGTTTTCAATAACCTTGTATAATATTCTATAATCTCTATTTTTAGAGGACGTTTTGGTTAAAATTTTGGCTAAAACGATTTGAGTGTATTATTAAAATGTAGGTAATTATTATAAGCCATTTTTTCGAGAATAAATATAATATTATTTTAAATTTGTAATATAATTTTAATGCTTTCAGAGATAATATTAATTTTTCCATTAACATACGACCTACTGCAGGGGTGGTAATTATTGTTCGTAAGTAAGTGTAGTGATGAAATTATGGACATAATTGTTAACTCCCCAGGCCATCACCAGAGTACTTTTTTTTTATCAACACCATATTATGACGGAAAATCGATGAGTTGATTAGTCTTAAAATAGCTAAACCAAAATATATTTTATGAGTCAACACGGTTCACAGGAACGTTGATATGTAATAAATATACGGGTGAAAAAAACCCAAAAGTTAGTAATCTGTAATTGTAATTTCCAAAATCGAAAAACGTATTATAAAGTCGATCGTGTTATGTGTGATATATTATGTTATTATCTTTATTTGAAGTCTTAAATATCGTTGGTGATGGATATGAAATAACATGTTTCTTACTCAGTTACTATAATATATAGTATGAGAATAACTGATTTTCTATAAAATATTTAGTAAATACAAATATGTAATTCCACTTTAAGAACAAACAATTAACTGCAAAACGTTTACACGTCTTACCCGCGGTGACCATGCAGTTACCTATCTATATTTTTTAACAATTAACGTACATATTTTATTTTATTTTGAAGTAGGTAGATATTTCACATATTTTAATTATTATCGTTGTCGAACACATAAACTTCCGAACAATACATACTATGATATGCAACATAAATACATAATTTATAGGGATTCATATAAAAAAAAAAAATGATGCTTGGCAAATAACTCTAAGTACCATCGTATATTATACGAGGGGCTTCTATTCTTCGAGGAAACCTTAGAGAGAATTATTATATATTTATGTATAATATGTACATAATAACTGTATAGGTATATTATATACTGTTCCTATAATATTAAAATTGCAGTCTATAATAAATACCTACCTAATAACTAAATTAAGTTCATTTTATAATAGGAGTCAGCGGATAGGGTGATATTTATAACGTACCTACAATACCCTGCCCTCCCTGAATAGTTTTGTATTTTTTGTTTGCTCGGATATTTATTATTAAATTCTTGTGAGAACTTGAATTTGATGATTCTTGCAATTGACCTGATTTACCAGTTTGCTGGGAAAGTCAAATTTTCCTCGGTTGGGGCTGTGGTGACGTTATCCCGTCCAAACCCGAGTGGTTCTAAATAGTCAGCCAACAAAATTAAACAATTTGGGAACAAGGCAGCAGAGTAACGAATGTGAAAATACATAATTATAAAAAGTTATTATAGTTGTATAAGTACCTACATAACAATGGGCTAAATTTAAGTGAGTAGGACATATCCTTCATATTTTATAAATTTGGACAAGATTAGAAACTTTCGAGTTGCTCACATTTGAGAGTGAAATAACTGAAGCACAATAAGATTATTTATGAACTAGGTAGAAATAAATAATAATATTAAGAGACTCAAGACTGTTGGTTTAGTAAACATTTTTTAGTTTTTGATTGTGAGTGAATAGCGAGGAAAGTATTGTCTTTATAATGATGTAGTTTTTTCATGCTGTGTTAACATATGGCCTTGGAACAATAAAAAAACCACATACCTTAAGACGGGGACTGTCAAGTCCTCTAAAATAATAATTTATCACATTCAAGTGTTGTTTTGGAGAGACAAGACTATTTAATAATTATTTCAAAACTGTTATTACTCGTTACGACTTAGTACCAATTAAATGCCTATCAAATATTTATTATTATCAGATTGCGCTGGGCCAGTACTGAGTTTCATTTCAATATGATTCGTTGAAAATCCATGTACGAGAAAATCCTGTCTAGAAAAAGAAAATCTTCCTTGAATTATTGTAATCATATAATTGACGTTTAGTGAGACGTCTCTCGCGGTTGTTATTGGCGTTGACGACCGCAACTTTATTATTGTATTAATATTACGAAGGACACAGGTCTATCGCCCTGACATAGAATCGATAACTATTATTTTCAGTCGTAACCTATCTCGGTCCCAAGCTCCGCTCTCGACGGCCAATTTTTTTCGAATGCATTATACATAGTACAATCTAAAGTCATTACGATACCAAATACTCCTCAGAAAGCCCGCCGAGATGTCTACTCCCGTAACAGCCGGTATACCCACAATACGCGTGCGCGTGCACGAAAGATATATCGCCATATCGGTACATTATTCACGCCGCCTTTCGAACGCGCGACTCCGTCGTTTTATTATTCATTTGTTCTCACCTTTTTCACACCTCAAGACGCCGGCACCCCCTCAGCACCCCTTCATTCGACCCCAAAAAAACCCTGCCATCCCGCGTGCGTCTTATATTCTTTTCTATTAGCGGCCGTCGAGAACCTTTCGGCAAACCCGCAATTTCATGCATATTGCAGTATGTATATACACTATATATGTGCATATAATAAACGGGCATTTTTTATACGTAGGTATATATACGTGCACTCGGGAGACGGTATAATAAAATCGTAATTCTTTTTTTACTGCGCCCTCCGCCGTTCGATCCGGTCCCTTTATAGGACAACGATTGTTCGGCCTCGACGGGCGCAATATAATCCCGCGAGCACCTCGCAATCCCCTTCCACCACTGGGGGTAGAGGATGGTGTATTATATTATGTATATTAATATATGCACATATAGCGCGGCCGCGAAACCGTTTCCGGATGAATATTGGACGGGATTAAATTTCGTGTTGTATTCGCGATAAGACAGACGAAGTGTGCGGTGCGCTGCACGCGATATCATATCTGTTGTGCGTGTGTGTATGAGTGTGGGAAGGAGGGACGAGGGTGTAGAAAAACGTTAAAAAGAAAGAAAAACGATTTAATTTTTTTCTTTCTCTGTCTCTTTGCCGCACCTATATATATATATATACACAATACCTATGCGTATGTGAATGGCGCACGAGAGAACACCAGGCACGGGCCGTGCGGCGCCCGTGAGAATTTAAACAGTTTGGCGTTGTGCATGACAGAAACGATTCAAAGTTTCAAAAGTCGTTACGACTCACCGTCCGTCCACGCCTCCTCCTCACAACCTTCGCATAAATAGATACGTACAAACGCGCGTATTATAATATTCTACGGGGTAGTCGGACGCGGCGTGCAGTGCGAGCAGAGAATCGGTGAGTGGGTGGGCGCCGTGGGCGGGTACGGCAACAAAGTGCCTAGAAAGTATCCGAAGATAATTTTGTTCGTTTTGACATCGCTGCAAATTATATTGCGCTTTTTTCTTCCCACTCCGTCTACCTCGGACCCGTCTCGCCGATTCAACACACGAATGGAGCGCTTTTCAATTGCTCTCGTGGGATTGCGTGTGTATGACACTAAATAACAAAAAAAAAAAAATCAAACAAACAAACGTGTATTTTATCTAGATCGACTTGCGGTTTTTCGAGAAAACTTTTCAAACTGTCACACACGTATATTATTTTCATATACGGGTCGAGTGTCAAAAATATGCATATGACTATAAACTATACGCTATTTGTGTAATGTGCCTGTCGTGTATATAACTTCATAATTGTTTATATAATAATAATAATAATATTGTTAATAGTAAAAGTTTACTATATAAATTGTACATATTTAAAATAAAAAACATTCGTGAAATACGTTCAAGGATATCATAACATAAGACTATGTATAGGGTACACAAATTACAAACCAACTATAGTTATAGTTAATTGTTAATTATAATTTATAGCCCAAGTATAGACCTAGCTTGGTAAAATGTTACTAGTTAGTTACTAGCCAAGTTACCTGAAACAGTAGCGCACATCGTTTGACAAAATATTAACAATAAATCGATTGACTTATAATATATATATACATTGTATAATCGGCTTTCTTAGTACCGCCTCTACTATAAATCAGTTAAGTAGGTTGGTATAGTATACTATATATGGTTGAAGGAACTATCGAAAGGACTATTATATATTATAAGGAGTTGGTACACATCTGTTCTATTCTTGTATATGGCGATTTTTTACTGATATTTAAGTTTATAAGCCAGAACAACTGTACAGTTGCCTAGCCTCACAATTATGTTTATTTAGATACACTGGAAATCTCAAATGATTGTACGTAGCCACGTAGCTAACCGCATTGAGCGATTAATTTTTCGGCTTATAAGCATCCTGACTTTTATCGCAAAAAAAGAATTACCAATAAAGTAAAAACTCAAAAATAACGAATGTTACAGAATGTAAAGACTATTTATTTAGTTTTCT